ATCTGGTGAGGGTTCTCTGTCTGAGCAAGGGGCAGCAGCCCCAAAAAGTCCCTACAAGTTGCGGAAGAGAAGAGAGAAGAAGAAGTAAAAAGGCTGAAGGACTTTGAATTGTGCCTTTGAGAACTCTGGTTCTTGGGGATGATTGGGGGTACTGTTATCGCGCAGTTAAATGTAAACTGGGAGGATAAAACATTTTAAAAGTTTAACACAATTCATAAAAAAGAAAAATGTTGAAAAGACTGGATGTATAAAAGCTAGTTGGAGGATCTCCTCTCTTGGGTTTTTAGTTAGTAGTGGGTACTTTGCTTTCTCCCCATATGTGTAGTTTCCCCCTCCCTTTTTCTGTTGTAGTTTTTTGTAGCGGAAAAAATCAATAAAAAATCCCCTCCGGGGGCTCCAAAAAAGAAGAAGAAGAAATGTTAATCAAAAGGTTGAATTCTAAATAAAGCTATCTTGAATCATAATACTGATCTCAGGTGATTAATCATCCCTATTCTGTTAAACTACCTGCTTATTTTTTACGTTTCTTCTTGTACCTCAGATTAGCTTTGGGAATTTTCGCTGCAGCAGCCCCTTTCTCCAATTCTGAGGTTTCCGAAGTACTACTGGAACTTCTTGAGGTGTCATCTGATTCTCCATCACTAACTTCCTCCTCTTCCATATTATCCACAGATTTCGTATCATCTTTACTCGGGCTTTGTTGCTGTTTCAAAAAGTCTTTGGTTTTTTGGACAGAGTCAATTTTGTTCTTATCCTTATAGTTGAATACAAGTCCCTCAGGAAAAATCCATCTAAAAGGAATTGAATTATTGTGGAGAAATGCTAAGTCCTTGTATTGTCGCCTTCACTTCCGTGTCTCGATTGGAATGTCCTTTAAAATTTTTATTTTGTCGTCTTTGACCTTCAAGACTTTTCCAGATGTAGCTTCCAAAACATTGTCTCTGGTGGATCTCTTTGAGAATTTCACATATATTTCTCCAGGTAGATTATTTTTCTTAATAAAATCCAGATAACATTCAATATGCCAAATCAATATCATTTTGCAACACATCTTGTTTAATGTCTGTCATTGGTGTCAACGCTTCACTTAAAATTAGTTTCAGATTTTCTCCTTTTTGCTCAGGAACACCTTGAAAGCGTAAGACATACACTGATCTTTCCATTTGTAGTTGTAACAATTGGCCTTTGTCTACAGCTCTCTCTTTTTCCACATCCTCCAATTTTGGGTTTTGTTTCAACTTTCTTGATGGCTCTGTCAATTTTATTTGCTCTCTTATCCATCTGTGTCAGTTGCTTTTGGACACCATCCAGCTTACTGTTGATATTAGACATCTGCTCCAGCAGGGGGAAACATTACAGCATCTGCAAATGCTCTGTACTTATAGGTAAAGCCTTTGGTTGTAAGGCCTTTTATGTCCTTGTCTTCTCTTATTCTCCCGAGCAACCCTTCTAAAATCCATATGAACAATAATGGTGATAACGGGCATCCTTGCCTTGTCCCTTTTTGTACCTCAAATTGTTCTGTCATCTCTTTATTTACGTTCAGTGATGCTTTCTGTTCCAAATAGATTGCCTTAATTATGTTTAAAAATGGCTGGCCAATATCCATTATTTTCTATAACTTGAAACATAAAGTCCCAATTCAAATTATCAAAGGCTTTTTCCGCATCCACAAAGAAAAAGCTAACTTCTTTTTCTGGGTGTTTATCATAATATTCAATTGCACCTATCACCATTCTTAAATTGTCTTTAATTTGTCTACCTGGTAAAAATCCAGCTTGCTCTTCTTTAATTGTATCCTTCAAGTAGTTCTTCAATCTTTCGGAAATCACTTTGGCAAACAATTTGTAGTCATTATTTAAAAGAGAAATAGGTCTGTAATTTCGTACATTTGTTAGATCTTGTCCTTCTTTCGGAATAAGTGATATATTGGTTTCTTTCCATGTTTCTGGGATCATTTTTGTTTCCCTTATTTCGTTTGACAGAAGTTCAAAAATCAGGGTTAGCTCCTCTTTTAATTTTTTATAACATTTTACTGTAAATCCATCTGGTCCCGGAGCTTTCCCCAACTTTGCTCCATCTATCGCACTATAAATCTCTTCTTTCTTAATTGGGCCGTTTAACATTTCTTTTACTTATTTATCCAGTTTTGGCATTTCCATTTTGTCCAAATACTTTCTAATCCTTTCCAAGTCCACATTTTTCTTCTGAAATAACTTAGCATAGTACTTAAAATGTTCTTTTTATTCCCTTTATGTTCACAATTTCCTTTTCATCTTCCATAATTCTATTTATTATTCTCCGTTCCCTTCGGTTTTTCAGTTGCCATGCCAAAAACGTTCCTGGCTTATTTGCCCCTTCAAATGATTTTTGTTGCAATTTTGAAAAATTCCAATAAATTTCTTGATTTAATATCACATTCAGCTGGTCTTGCAAAATTTGAATTTCTTTGATTCTTTTCTTTTTTCCAGGTTTTTTCTTTAATTCTTTTTCCTTTTGTTGGATTTTATCTTGTATGTCACTTTGTTGCTTCATTTTCTCCGTTTTCTCTCTCGCATTCAAAGATATCAGTAGTCCTCTCATTACTGCTTTGTATGCATCCCACACAGTTTGAATTGTCGTTTCCTGATTTAAATTCAACTGAAAGAAAACTTGTGTTTCCTTACGTAGTATCTCAAATATTATTTGCTTATGCAATAAATCTTCATTTAACCTCCACTGAAATTGTTTCTTCTTCTCTTTTGATATCCAAATTATTGGGTTATGGTCAGAGTTACTCTTTGGCAAAATTTCCACTTTTTGTGTTTTTAATGCAATTTCTCCTGACATCCAAATCATATCAATCCTGGAAAAAGAATTGTGCCTATTGGAGTAAAAAGTAAAGTCTTTAATCTTAGGGCTCTAAACTCCATCATTGAACCCAGTCTACGATTTTCTTGTATCACAGTTTCCATTTTTTTGTCTATATCTTGCGATTTTTGCTCCATTTCTGTAGATTTCGTTACTAAACCTTGAAATTCCTTTTTGATGTCTGTCACCTCCTTTTTAATTTCGGCCACCTCTGCAACAACTAATTCTTTCATCTTCACCATATTTTTTTCTTGGACTTCTTCCAGCTGTTCCATCTGCTTCTCCATATGTTTATCCATCTGTTGCTCCATCTGTTTCCCCAGGCCTTGAATAGCTTCCATCATTCTCTTCTCCATAGCGTCTATTGCCGGTTGCCACTCCCTTTTCTCTTTCCCAGCCATCTTCGGGCTTGAAACAGAGGCTGCCCTCTCCCGGCCATCTTCGGGATTAAAACAGAGGCTGCCCTCTTTCTTACATCCATTTTTAAAACTTTTGTTTTTAGACCTTCTCCAATTGTAATTCTTTCATATAGTCCAGCTCTTTTTTATGTGCTTATTCAAATCGCCCACTTTTCGCACTACTTTTATTAATTTTTAGCTGTAAAATTGCCTTTTAAAGTTCAGACTTCCACAAAATGGTGGGCGCAATTTCTCTATGATTTTCTGGCTAGAGTAGGCTCTTCTGTAAGTTCCTGTTTCCTGTTCCACCGAATAATCCATCCTGTTCCACCAAATAATCCGTCCCCTGGTGTTCCCTTTTCACTGCCGATCTTCTTCCGGTTGTCTGTTGGTCCTCCGTCATCCACTCTAGCACTCAGCTTGTCTTCCCCATTCACAAGACCAGCCGGAAGTGCTTTTATGTTACTCTCCTACTCTTCAGTCTCGCGATTTTTAGCGTCAGTTTTGATCTCAAACTCAGTTCTTTATCTCAATGCAGCCACCACAGGAATGCTAAACAAAGTCTCTTTTTTCTTGTTTTTAACGCTTTAAAAGATCATTTCATCTCTGGAATGAACAGAATATTTTTTGCAAAGTCTTTTATGCTCATCCGCTTGCTTCAAATTCTCATTACAACTTTCTCCCGGTAAGCAAAACGTTATTGTTACCTTGTTTGTTTATCTTAGGTTTTCTCACTGCTTCTCTCACATCAATTTCGTTCTTTGTTCTTAAGAAGTCGGGAAATGACGAATTTATGCTGAATCCTCAGCTCGGTTGGCTCCTTTAGTGCTGATTGCAAACGCCCGCTCCAGGAGGGGGGATCAAAGTGTGACACAAGCCTCCTCCGAGCCTTGATCATACCAATCTCAACCTTCCCTTGGACCTTGTTGCTTGCTAGTCAATCCCCCGACTGGGGGATGCCGCGTTGGACAAAAACTTGCCCAAACTGTCAGAAAAAGCCACCGTCCACCCTGAGCTCATTACAGGGTGTGTCAACTCGCCATTTTCCCCCGACCGGAAGCCAAGCATGGGCATTCATGTTATAGAAGACAGGCACAGAAACTCCTGAAGCAAATGCAAGCAGTGACTCCACTCTAGGGCAATATATCACTGAGTAAGCTGCTCTAAAATAAAGCTTCAGGATGGGTCTTCTTCAGCCTAGTTTCCTCAGACACTCCTCACAGGGTACCTTGTAGTCTCTTCCCCTGACTATTCCTAATCTTCTCTAGAGGAGAGATGCAGGCTATCTAATAGAAAAGGGAAAACACTAATTTTGAACAGCTCGAAACTTATGGAACAAATGGTTGCATTCAGACATCATGAACAAACCTTGGTTATTTGTCATGAGAATGAACCAAAAAGTCCTTGGGCTTACACTCTCTCCTTCTTGCACCTGTTTCTTTCCCCCATGTGCAGCTGGGGAACTAAAGACCTCCTGGTTTGAAACTAACTTGTGATGTCTGAACTGGGTAAAATGGCAAACTATGGTTTATTCTTTAGCTTGTAAACCAGGTTTATAAAGTAAATTTTAACCTTCTCCTTTCTTTTTTAGAATCCGGCTCTTATTAATTCAGTGCTTTTATGTCACCTGATGGCCTTTAGAGACATTCAAGGTGGCTAACAATTTAGCAAACAAAAAAAGTCATAATCAATAACATTCAATTAAAAGCCAGCATCAAATGAACACAATCAATATGTGAAACATCAGGTGCAATACAGGCAACAGGCACTGTTCTTCAATCAATACATTTTAAGGGCTTTCCAGAATAAGTAGCTCCCACTTGCTCCAAAATTGCTGTAGGGCTGGTACCACTCCCATTTCCTGCGGGAGGAAAGTCCAAAGTTTGGGAACAGCAGATGGGAAAAAACATCTTGCAGGACTCAACCACAAAAAAATAGTACTTTCATGAGGGCACCATTCACAGTGTTATATTCCATGAATTTTCCTTCTGAAACTAATGCAGGACAGTAACCCAAAGCATGGCCAGTCTCATGTGCACTGATACAGCTGCAGACTTCCTTGAGTCTTTTTCAAGAGGGGAGGAATTATACTCACAAGAAGTCTTGTTTTTCACCTTACAGTTTTCTTCTGGTTCTTGTTTTCCTCAGTATACCTCTGGTGGTACATGGTCTTCATAACAAGACCTGTGTGGAAGGTGATGGGCTTTCTCTCTTGCCCTACAATGAACATACCTGTCAGCAATTACTCTAGTGCATTCATGTTTAAATAGTGCCAGAAGAGTCTCAACGTTAGAACATTCATCTGCTTTTATAGTTAACATTCCTTGCCAAATTCTGGAAAGGTCTCGAAGATTGAAGATGTAATGGAATTTGGACGGTGTGGGAAGCATCTTTACCTAAAGCAAAAACAATACGTTGAAGGTTTCCATGGTAGCTAGAAAGCAATAAAGGCACTCAAACTTGCCAAACAATAAACCAATAGTACTCAGACTTGCCAAACAATAAATACCCCTGCTTTCCCATTTTTATTTGTCCCTAAGCTGCTTTATTTTGGCAAAATCAGTGCAAAAATGTCATGGCATCAAGAAGAAAACTGTAAGATATGTAACTGCAATATATCTTAGAGAATGAAAAATGGATGAATATTCTTTTGGGTAGACTGTCAGGACACAGGAGCTTTGTGCTTGATCTGCCTGCCAGTAGCAGCAATATTTCCTGGCCCAGAACCAGTCCAGTCTCCATAGGAAGTGGGGAGAAAGTCAGGAAAAGGGAAAACAGTAAGCAATAAAAAACAAACAAATAATGAAAAAGTAATGGTGGTAAAAAATGAAAACAGCAAAAATAAACATTGTTTTAACAAATGAAGATCAACTGAAAACATAAATCTTCTGGGCATGCACCTAATGGTGTACAACACATTTCTGTCATCTATTATAAATATTTCAAATAGAGAATATATAGTCTCTGCTTCTGTACATTTTGTAGTTTGTACCTTAGTCCATTGCCACAGTATTCTGCTTGCTGATACTAATTTTATGATCGCATCACATATTTCTGCTTTAAAAGATCTACATGGATGAAAGTATCCACAGCCAATTATACCTGAAAAGGAACAGAATACTGTTAATAATCTTAACATTTTAATAACCTTTAAAAGATTACTTTTACCACTCCAACTCAATTGTACAGACTCCACATAGGGGCACTGACAGCAGGACTTCCAACATGATAAGGCCAGCACAAGCAATAAGAGGCTTGAAAATGTGATGGACCCTGCATAGCACATGATCAGCAGAAATGTTTAGCTGTCTCTGTATAAAGCATTTTAAAAAACAACTTCCAAAGACTATTGTTAAAATTTTAGATTATGTCCTGATCAAATTAATGCATAGTTTTAAGGACTTGAACAAAACTTTTAAAATCAATACAGATTTGATAGTTTCCTTGTAAAAAGACAATTCAGCTGTAAACTGAAAATGTTCTTAAATGCCCCACTGGTGACCAGTTAGTTTCTGGGTTCAGTCCATTCAACATCACAGTAATTCAAATCAATGCACCAACCACTGATGCAGAAGAGGCTGAAGTGGACCGGTTCTATAAAGACCTACAACACCTCTTGGAACTAACACCAAAAGAAGATGTCCTCCTCATCATAGGAGACTGGAATGCTAAAGCAGGAAGTCAAAGGTTACCAGAATAACAGACAAGTTTGGCCTTGGAGAACAAAATGAAGCAGGGCAAAGGCTAACAGAGTTTTGTCAAGATAACATGTTGATCATAGCGAACACCCTCTTCCAACATCTTAAGAGGTGACTCTACACATGGACATCACCAGATGGGCAACACTGAAATCAGATTGATTATATAATTTGCAGTCAAAGATGGAGAAGCTCTATCCAGTTAGCAAAAGAAGAACCGGAGCTGACTGTGGCTCAGATCATGAGCTACTCATTGTAAAATTCAGACTTAAACTGAAGAAAGTTGGGAAAACCACCAGGCCATTCAGATTTGACCTAAATCAGATCCCTAATGAATATACAGTGGAGATGAAGAATAGGTTTAAGGGACAAGATTTGATAGATAGAGTGCCTGAAGAACTATGGGCAGAGGTTGGTGACATCCCAAAGAAAAAGAAATGCAAGAAAGCAAAGTGGCTGTCTGATGAGGCTTTACAAATAGCAGAGGAAAGAAGGAAAGCAAAAGGCAATGGTGAAAAGGAAAGATTTACCCAACTGAATGCAGATTTCCAGAGAACAACAAGGAGAGATAAGGAAGCCTTCCTGAATGAACAATGCAAAGTAATGGAGGAAAACAATATAATGGGAAGGACTAGAGAGCTCTTCAAGAAAATTGGAGAAATTGAGGGATCGTTCCATCCAAAGCTGGCCATGATAAAGGACAAAAACGGTAGGGACCTAACAGAAGCAAAAGAGATTAGGAAAAGATATCAAGAATACACAGAAGAACTGTACAAGGACCTCAATGTCCTTGACAACCACGACGGTATAATCACTGACCTTGAGCCAGACATCCTGGAATCCAAAGTTAAATGGGCCTTAGAAAGCATTACTAACAACAAAGCTAGTGGAGGTGATGGTATCCCAGCTGAGCTATTCAAAATCTTAAAAGATGATGCTGTTAAAGTGCTGCACTCAATTTGCCAGCAAATTTGGAAAACACAACAGTGGCCACAGGATTGGAAAAGATCAGTATACATTCCAGTACCAAAGAAGGGCAATGCCAAGGAATGTTCAAACTATTGCACAATTGCACTCATTTGGCACACTAGCAAGGTCATGCTAAAGATCCTACAAGTTAGGCTACAGCAGTACATGGATAGAGAACTGCCAGAAGGACAAGTTGGGTTTCTAAGAGGTAGAGGAACTAGAGATCAAATTGCCAACATTCACTGGATTGTGGCGAAAGCAAGAGAGTACCAGAAAACGATCTACTTCTGGTTCATTGACTATGCTAAAGCCTTTGATTGTGTGGATCACAACAAACTATAGCAAGTCCTTAAAGATATGGGAGTACCGTGTTTCCCCGAAAATAAGACACTGTCTTATATTTATTTTTTCTCAAGAAGACACACTAGGACTTATACCACAAATGCATAGAAATCCTGCTAGGGCTTATTTTTGATTTTCGGGGAAACAGGGTACCAGACTACCTCAAATGTCTCCTGAGACACCTGTATAAGGGTCAAGAAGTGGCAGAACAGGATATGGAACAACTGATTGGTTTAGCGTAGGAAAAGGAGTATGACAAGGATGTATATTGTCCACTTATTTGATTTATATGCAGAGTACATCATGCGAAATGCCAGCCTGGATTATTCAGAAGCCAGAATTAAGATTGCTGGGGAAAACATCAACAACCTCAGATATGCACACAATACCACTCTAATAGCAGAAAGTGAAGAGGACCTATAGAGCCTCTTGCTAACGATAAAAGAGGAGAGCGCAAAGGTTAGCTTGAAACTCAACATTAAAAAAATAAGATCCTGGCATCTGGCCCCATCACTCCTTGGCTAAAGCGCAGATGGAGCTGAGGCTTGCAAGAGATGCTAAGAACAACAAGAAAAATTTCTATGCCTATATTTGGAGCAAAAAGAACAGGGATGGAGTAAGCTCATTGCTAGGGGAAGACAGTCAACCCTTAACAAGGGATGAAGACAAAGCGGAATTAATCAACTCTCACTTTGCGTCAGTCTTCAACCATAAGGCAAGCTGTATGCAAACTGAAAAATGCAGGGCATATAAAGGAATGAGAAACTGCCAGTCCAGAGTAAGTAAGGAAATGGTTAGAGAGCATCTAGATGCCTTAAATACTTTCAAATCTCCAGGGCCGGATGGCTTGCATCCCAGGGTGCTAAAAGAAATTGCAGATGTTATTTCAGAGCCTCTGTCTCTAATCCTTGAGATGTCCTGGAGTACTGGTGTTGTGCCGGAGGACTGGAAAAGAACAAATGTTGTCCCAATCTTCAAGAAGGGAAAAAAGACAGACCCGGGAAATTACAGGCCTGTCAGCTTGACATCAATACCTGGGAAAATTCTAGAGTAGATTATTAAATGCTCTGTCTGTGAGCAGCTTGAATGGAATGAGTTAATTGGTACTAGCCAGCATGGGTTTATCAAGAATAAGTCATGCCAGACCAACCTTATCTTTTTTTTTTTTACAGTTACCAAAATGGTTGACTCTGGCAATGCTGTGGATATAGTGTATCTAGATTTCAGTAAAGCATTTGACAAAGTTTCTCACGATATCCTTGAGAATAAGATGGTTAAGTGTGGGCTGGATGGTGCAACCATTGGATGGATTCATGGTTGGTTGAAAAATCGTACCCAACGAGTGCTCGTAAATGGCTCTGTGTCTATGTGGAGGGAAGTCTCAAGTGGAGTGCCACAGGGATCGGTTCTAGGCCTGGTGTTGTTCAATGTTTTTATAAATGACCTGGAGGAAGACATAGAGGGGATGCTTATCAAATTTGCAGATGACACAAAGATAGGTGGGATTGCTAATTCTAAGAAGACAGAGACAGGATTCAAAATGATCTAGATAGGCTGGAACAGTGGGCTGAGACAAATAAAATGAATTTCAATAGAGAGAAGTGCAAAGTCCTACACTAAAGTACAAAAAATCAAAGGTACAGATATAGAATGGGAGGGACTTGGCTTGACAGCAGCACACGTGAAAGGGATCTGGGTGTTCTGGTTGATCACAAGCTAAACATGAGCTTGCAGTGTGATGTGGCTGTGAAGAAAGCTAATGCAATCTTAGAATGCATTAACAGAAGCATTGTGTCCAGATCACGGTAGGTGGTAGTTCCGCTCTATTCTGCTATGGTCAGGCCTCACCTGGAGTACTGTGACCAGTTTTGGGCACCACATTTTGGGAAGGATGTTGACAAGCTCGAGTGTGTCCAGAAGAGGGCAACCAGGATGGTGAGAGGGTTGGAATCCAAGTCTTATGAGGAAAGGCTGAAAGAGTTGGGAAAGAGAAGGCTTAGAGGGGACATGATTGCAGTCTTCAAGTATTTGAAGAGCTGTCATGTAGAAGATGGAGCAGATTTATTCTCTCTTGCTCCGGATTGCAAGACTAGATCTAATGGGTGGAAATTACAAGGGAGTCGTTAGCGGCTAAGTATCAGGAGAAACTTCCTAACTGTAAGAGTGGTTGAGCAGTGGAACAGTCTGCCCCGGGAGGTGGTGGATGCTCCTTCGCTGGATGCTTTCAAGTGCAGGCTGGATGGCCATCTTTCGGGTATGTTGTAGGTATGTAGGGCTATCTTTCAGCTATGCTCCTGCAGAGTGCAGGGGGTTGGACTAGATGACCTGCAAGGTCCCTTCCAACTCTAACATTCTATGATTTTATGATTCGAATAGAAGGAGAAGTCATGGAAGCAACTACAGACTTCACGTTCCTGGGATCCAAGATCACTGCAGATGATGACTGCAGCCATGAAATTAAAAGACACTTGCTCCTTGGGAGGAAAGCAATGGCAAATCTTGACAGCATAATAAAAAGCAGAGATATCACCCTGCTAACAAAAGCAATGATATTCCCAGTAGTACTGTATGGCTGTGAGAGCTGGACTATAAGGAAGGCCATGCGCCGAAGAATAGATTCTTTTGAATTATGGTGCTGGAGAAGACACTTGAGAGTCCCCTGGACTGCAAGGAGATCAAATCAGTCAATCCTAAAAGAAATCAACCCTGACTGTTCCCTAGAAGGCCAGATACTGAGGCTGAAGCTCAAATACTTTGGCCACCAAATGAGAAGGGAGCACTCACTGGAGAAGACCCTGCTCCTGGGAAAGATTGAAGGTCAAAGAAGAAGGAGACGGCAAAGGATGAGATGGTTAGACAGTGTTATTGAGGCAACGAACATGAAATTAAGCAAACTCCGGAGGACAATGGAAGACAGGAGGGCCTGGTGTGATGTGGTCCATGAGGTCGTGAGGAGTCAGACTTGACTGTGCAATTGAACAACATCAACCTGCAAAGCCCTTCATGTACTATGATCTGCATATATGCAAGAATGCCTTTCCCAATATGCTCCACTGTGACAACTTTGCTCATTTGAGCAAACCTTTTGAAGGTGCCACCCAGGCCAGCAGATAAGATTAACAGCTGCCCAAACTTGAGCATTCTCCATTGTAGCTCTCACCCAGTAAAATGGCCTGCCAGCCAAGGCCAAGTAGGCTCCCAGTCTTCTAGCATTTTGTGGAATGTATAAAACAGACTTGTTAAATGATTTTTATACAGGGAATAGAGTTGTATGAGTTTTATAAAGGGAACAGGGTCTGTGATATTTCAGGCAGTTTCCATTGCATTGTTCATCCTTATACTAATAGCGAAAGGCGCCCCCTGCGTGCGGATATCTAAATCTGCACATCGGGGGCACCTGGGGGGCGGGGAGATTTTCGTGCACATTTGGGGCGATCCCCAGGTGTGCACAAAAATCTGAAAAGTGTAAAAAAAATATGGGGGATATTTAAATCCCAAAAGAAGTAACAGAGCGTCCCCTGCGCATGTGCAGGGAACGCTCTGCGAACTGCCTCGCTGCCGCTCCTGCCGCCGCCACAGGGGTATGGGAGGGCAGCAGAAGGCTTGGCTGGCGGGCGGGCGGGGACCGGCGAGCGAGGCCCGGCGGTTACAAGCCGCTCAGGCCTCGCTTCAGAGCGGCGACAGCGGGGGGCAGGCGAGGCA